GTTTAGGACAGAGAGACCTGAGTGCATATGAGGTGGAAGGAAGCAAGTCCATTGGGGGTGACGCTGGCAGGTGGCAGAGAGATGCAAGGCTGCTGGGCAGGGGGCTCTGGTGGAGGAGCTCCCCTTGGGGAGAGGAAGACCTCTGCCTTCTCCAAGGTGGGAGTCTCGGGGCCCAGTTGTGAGAAGCTGTGTGGGGGCTCAGGGAGGGCCTCCCGGGTGTCTCTGGACAGGGAACATAGTGACGTCTTCCACAAGCGAGGGTGCAGGAGTGGGAGTGGTACCCAGGGGAGTGGAAAAGATGTGGAATTGGGGATGGGGCAAGATACGCAGCTGGGAAGAGAGCTCATACTCATATCAGGGCCCTAAGGCTACCAGCTCCTGAGAAACCCACAGGATCTTGATTGGAGCTGGGCTCAACCTGAGCATGGGCCTTCCCAAACATGCCCCACTGCCTAGGAGTTGAGGAGGCCTCTGGCCAAGAGCCCAGGTGGGCCCTGGCATGCAGAGAGAATCAAGGAGGAGACAATGTTATCTGATATACATGTGACTCTGGAGGGTCTACAGAGAATGTGGGACCAAGGCTAGGACCTTACTTGGTGCTTTCTGAGCCCTTTCTGCTAAGATCGAGTAGGCTGAGGAGACACAGTCCAAGAGGGGTTTGTTCTGGATGCTGGAGAAGCCAGATGGCACAGGGGCTAGGAACACCCCAGGGGTGTTGGCCAGGAGGGTGACAACAGGGAAGAGATGGAGGACTCCAAGGAGTTGAGACGGGTATTAAAGAGGAAGAGAGACTGCTAGGGGACAAGGAGTCTGTTGTCCCTTCCATGGACAGAGCTGGGAGTAGGACTGGAGGGGCAGCACTCCCTGGAGGGAGCCTATCGGGCCAGAACAATGCCTGGCCTGGGGGCTCCTGGGCCAGACACTGGGAAGAGCTGAGAGATCCCCCATACTTGGGGTGCCATCGCAAAATACAAATCTTCCAGTGTGTGATGAGAGAGGAGGAGACAGTGCTTCTTGGACGAGCAGTGCCTGGTTTGGCCTCCACTGGCCACGGGTCCCAGGCCTCTCCTCCTGGGCTGGGCTGGGCTGGGTTGAGCTGGACTGAACCCGGGGCTCTCAGGTCTCCCCCACAGCAACATCTCCACTACCCACAGTGAAAAGCCTTCTCAGAGTCCACGCTTTCCTAGCTTGACTGTGCCAGCTCAGCTCGTCACATGGGATTGGCCTGAACCTAAGCCCCCAGCCCCTCTTGTGTCCCAGTCCCACCCCTGAAATCTGCCTTC